GCTTTAAGGAAAACAGAAATTAATACACAGTAATTCATCAATGCCTCATACATTCGCTGGTTTGTCAAATAGGCTCCTAAATAAATAGCATGCAAGTGTACATATTTTTTTTCTGTGACCGCCGATTTATTAAAAGGTCACAATTTGATGTCATTTAGGAAAGAATGCCAGCAATTACATACCAGAAGGTGCTAAATTGTCATGTGAAATTGCACATTATGTGGAAGAATTCGATTCAGTCTTATCTGGTTCTCATAAAAAATGTCATTCAAGTGTTTTTGTAACTTCATTACTCATCAAAATTTGAGCTGTGTTGGTTTCTTTGGATTTCCACATAGATTTCGTTTGTAAAGTGTGCCAAAAAAGTATGAGGTTTTTTGTTTTTTGTTTTTGTTTTTTTGTGGTTGGCTTTGGGTGTGTTCTCACTTCAGACTGCTGGCTGCCTTTCCACATCCGGCTTCTTCACTCAGTTCGGTAGGGGAAAAAAAGAGACAGAATTGATTAATAAAATTTATCACTGGTACGGACTTATCTGCCGCATATTCTTGGCGTAATTGTGGCAATAACTCACAGCGTACAATCACCCTTGGTTCTGACAAGCTTCATACGATGTCCCCTCTTTGAACCCTAATCTGAAGTGTCTGTTTATTTTTCCCTCAGCAGAATTTTTTTTTAAAACTCTAATTTAATCTATAAGGCTCTGATCATCGCTGTTGGCTGGAGAGTGGGCTGGAGTATAATGGATTGAAAGCCTCTGAATATGGTCCTGATATCGGTCAGAATTAGGGGGGAAATTTGCCCCTACTTTTTTCCAGAGTGGATGGCTGATCATTTCGCTTTCAATTTCCCCCCAAAACGATCTGTGTAAATGTGTGAAGCTGGCACTCCAAAGTGAGCTTTGTGGGTAACAGGAGTGAGCAGTCATGAAAGCAGACTGCACAGTGGAAGTTTTCTGAGCCACTGTTTTGAATTTCATACCACGAAACATAGTTTGGGGTTTCAAATATTGTGAAAGTACTAAATTTTGTAGTGTGTATGTAGTTTGGTTTGTGTCTTTCAAGCATGGTCCTTCCTCCATGAGGAACCAAATTGTTTTGTTTTAAAAGAAACCAGCTTTTGAGCACTTGAGTTGTGATAGTCAGTGATGAACCTGGAACACACCCTCAGCAACTTGGTCTACATGTAATTCAGAGGTTAGAGAGACGGATCTGATGCAGAACTTGTGCAATATGTGCCAGGGCTAGTCTGTTTATCAACTTTTGGAGTTGTGTTGCAATTGTGTGAAAAAAGCGATGCTTCCTAATGTTAATTACAGGCCAAAATGAGCATACGGTTGCCACACTCTCAGAGTATGACCACTGCTGTTAAATTCATGATTCTCTTCATGACATTTCTTTCATGCACTGTTACCAGATATTCTCTGCAATCAAAATGAATCATTCGTGGAACCCAAGTACCCCGAGTAAATCATCATTTTGATAACATTCCGTCCTGTCTGTGGAAGTTCGCAGTTCCAAACATGCACATGACAGTCGCTTGGGACACACGTGTCGCAGTTGATCACCGTGGAATTGAAATGTGTGTCCACTGTCAATATGCAGGAGCCGTTAGTACGCAAACAACCTGTCTCTGCTATCGACATCTGATCTGAGGTGGAAGCTTTAAGTAATCGTTATTTCAACTCCCAACATTTTATCCATTTTTTCTCGTTTAAATAGACAGCGTTGATACAGAACTGGTTCAGACCGTGTCTGAGCTGTAGTCCATTTGTCAAGCAGTAAAGTGCAGGGCTTGTATTTTTTCCCTGTAGCTGAGAATGCAAACACTAGTGAAAGTGTCACAGGCAAGTTCAAAGCCTGCTTTAAGTTGCCTGCCAGGACATAAAAGTAATCTGTCTCTCCAACTTAGATTCCATGTGGAAAGTGGGCCCACGGGCGTGTGAAAATTCATGGCTTGTGAAGTATAAACGAAAGCTGGCCAAGGGTTGGGAAGGTAAAGTCTTCTAGCTCTGGGCTAGAGAATAATAAGATTCTCAGTAGGAATTAGATGGCGATGAATAGGCAAAAGCATGAGATTAACACTGAGAAAAATACACCGCCAAAAAATGCCATTTGACAGAAAAATAGACAGTGCCCAGTAATGCCCAGTAATTTAATGCCGTGCAGTGTTTATTCAACACCGCATACAAAATGTGTGGATTACAACACCACAAAGCATTACTTCCACACCAACAGTGTCAATTTGACACTACACGCTACTTTTTTTAGCCCAAAATATGCTCATTCAACACGGCATAGGGTAGATAAATTCAGTGACACACAGTGTTTACTAAAACCGTGCAGTATTCATTCAAAATATCACAGTAATAAAGCAACAGCACAGGTTTATTTCAACTCCACTGTGGTTCAAATCCACGAGGTATTGATTCAACACCACAACTTGTTGATTCCACACCACACAGTATTCATTCAACTCCACTTGGTGGCAATTCACACCATTATATCTCAACTCAGTGTTGATTCCACACCATGTGGCATTCATTTCACACACACGGTTTAATATCCACACCGCTCAGTGTCAATTAAACACCACAGGTTCGGCCCCACATTTCGGCAGTCTGCACACCTATAATGTGGATGCCAAGGTAAAATGACACCAGACATCTGAATCAAAGAGGCAGTCTTTGTAATCCCTGTGTTTGCAACCCACCCCTGCAATCAAATTCCAATCAAATTCATGGATGTTGCTTGTGATTTATTACAGCGTCGATTGTGCATGACGTGCTGGTCGCAGAGTGCACCATTAAGCACTGGATGATACCCATATGTGGTTTTCCTTGTTCCCAGATGATGTCTGCATGGTTGCATTTCAAGACATTAAGGAAACTTGAACCATTCTCTGTTTTTCTATCCTTGTGTTTGTGTGTGTTTTGCCACATTTTTGGATCCGCTTCATCCCAAACAGCGTTCATTAGTGAGGCCGAGAGGCATGCGAACGTACTGATGTCGCTGTGTGTGTGTGTCCACTGTGCATGCTGCTGGTGGAACTCTGTTACCTATTCGCACTCACTGCACCTGTCGCTCTGAGCCGGGGCCGGGTCGTAAATGCCATAGTGATAATTGCAGTGATTGGCCACTGATGCCATAATCAGCACGTAGCTGGCCCAGTTTCTCCTGGCATTGATGGGGGAGGGGAAGGGGTGGTGGAGAAAGCACCTCCGCACTGTGGTCATGTCTGCCCGTCTGCCAGATGTACATGTACTTCTGACTCCTTCGGTTACCGCCTTGTCTGAAGGATGAAGCGGAAACTTCGTCGGGGTAGCTGTGCGGGATTGGAAAGTAAACAGGCTGCCAGAGATGGGAATCTGCTGTGACAAGGATGACAGCGACTTCGTGCTTTGGGCAAAGGGGCTGCTAAGTTTTCTCTGAGGGCTCCTTTGGCAGTAAAATAAGATCTGAAGAAACTACCATCTTTTGGGATGGTCCAAACCCAGAAACGGACAATTTAGATGTCAACTGATGGACCCTGCTTTAAGTGAGCCGGCCTGGTATCTAGCAATGTGGGCCCAACCTATGATCAACAAATCAAACATTCTAGTACCTGCAAATTTCACACCCTGGACAAACTTCATAAGATAAAGCCCATTACAATACAAGATGGCTGATGACATCTGAGAACACTTGTGGTTATTTATGTTTATTTATTTTTTTTTCATTTA